CCTGCAAAGGAAAAGGGTGAGAGGGAAATTCTGGCATTTTTGGGGGCTGCTGACACAATTTCCCCCTCTGGCCCGTGCTGGTTCCTGCAGGGGTGGAGCTGCTGCTGCAATTCCTTACCCTCGGAGGTCTGCAGGACCAGGGTCTTGCTGTAGGGGCTGACTCCTGACTTGTTGAAAGCCTTGACCCGGGCGCTGTAGGTGCTGTTGAAGTGCAGCCCATCCACCGTGCACATGGTCTCCTTGCCCACGTACACCTCCTGCAAGGCAACACCTCCAGTCACAGCCACCCCTGGGAATGCCAGGGCTGGGAAACAGCCCCAGGGGCTCGGGATGGACGGGATCCCACCCTGCTCTGCTCCCTGGGAGTGCTGGGTAGGGCTGAGGCCGAGAAAAATGGGATTTGTTGTTGCTTGGGCAGCAGCAGCAGGAGGAGGTGAGGGGGGTCCTGCTCTGCTGAGATCCCACCTGGAATTCTTCCCCAGCTCCAACATCAGGAGGATGTGGAGCTGCTGGAGAGATTCCAGAGGAAACCCTGGAGCCCCTCTGCTCTGGAGCCAGGCTGGGAGAGCTGGGAATGTTCACCTGGAGAAGAGAAGGATCCAGGGAGAGCTGAGGGCACCTAAAGAGGCTCCAGGAGAGCTGGAGAGGGACTGGGGACAAGGGATGGAGGGACAGGACACAGGGAATGGCTCCCACTGCCAGAGGGCAGGGATGGATGGGATATTGGGAAGGAATTGCAGGGCTGGATGGGGTATTGGGAATTGGGAATTTCAGGCATGGATGGGATATTGGGAAGGATGGATGGGGTATTGAGAAGGAATTGCAGGCATGGATGGGATATTGGAAATTGGGAATTGCAGGGCTGGATGGGATATTGGGAATTGGGAATTGTAGGCATGGATGGGGTATTGGGAAGGATGGATGGGATATTGGAAGGAATATTATCAGCAGCAAGCACTGACCTTGCTCTCCCCACACCCAGCCTCCTCTCCAGGTCCCACCCACGTCACCTCTCCTTTGCCTGCCTGAGCTCCTTGTGGATAAATTCAGACTGCAATGGGCTGGGCCTGTGCCTGCTCTCAGTGGATGTGAACACGCCAGGATAATTATTGCCGTGTCAGATCGCAGAAAAATCATATTTTAATTGTGTAATTACAGCAATTTAAAAGCCCTCAGGCCTTAAAACACCTCTGCTTGCTGGCAGCTGGCAAACCATGAGGCTTTCATGACAATTAGGACACCCTGCATGAAATATTCAGCAACCTAAAAATATGGACCTTCATGGAATCATGGAATGGTTTGGGTTGGAAGGGACCCTAAAGATCATCTTATTCCACCCCCTGCTGTGTGCAGGAACACATTCCACTATCCCAGGCTGCTCCAACTCCATCCAACCTGGCCTTGGACACTTCCAGGGATCCAGGGGCAGCCACAGCAAATCTGGGTAACAAAAGCTTCAAACTTTCTTTGAGTTTTCAGGTCAACTTGGCCACTGGAAAAGCATTTACACCCTCCCAAATGACCCCAAAACCCCACAGCTTGTCTGCACCATCTGCTTCCCTGGGCAGCAGGGAAGAGGGGACTTGAAAAAGAACAGGAAGAGGGACAAATTCTCATTGGCAGGGGATCACTGGAGGCAGAACATCCCTTCCCACAGGGCTGGCTCCAAGCACCTACCCTGAACTGGCCACCATTGCCATCGTCCAGCTCCAGGATGTATCCTTCCACCTGCACCGTGGACAGAGGGGGCTGCTTCCAGGACAGGGTGGCACTGTTGTTGTGGGTGCAGCACTCCTCCAGCTGCAGGATGGGTGGGGCCGGCACTGGGGAGGAGACTAATCACCAATTAGTGCAATTAGTGCAATTACTGCAACCCTGGGGGTGCAGGGTGCATGTACTGCCTCGCTGGGAGGGCAGCTCAAGGTGCAGGGGAGGAAGCAGAGAGGATTGATCTCCCACCAAGCTCCACCAAATTCCTCTCCCCCACGACCCTGGTGAAGCTTTTCTGCTTTATTCCCATTTTCTAATTAATTTTGGAGAACTTGTACCTGTTTTGAGCTGCCTGGATTTTTCATGGATGTTCTCCCACAGGTTCTGGACTTTTTTACAGCCCTGCTTTTCCATTCAATAAATTCACTGCAACAAAACTGTGGGGCTGAGCACCCCCTTTGGCTCCCATCAGGGGACAGAGGGCACTGCCAGGGTTTTTTCTGCTGTGTTTGGGCAGCTCCACAAGTGTCCCACAGGCCACTCCTGCTCTGAAGAGCAGGGCAAGAGTGACAGCCTGACAGGGACATGTCCCCTGACACATCTCTCAACAGAGCTGCTTGTCCTCCATCCTCATCCTCGCTGCCCAAAGTGAGAAAAGCCGGTGGAAATAGAGATGGAGAAGGCAGACAAGATGGGGAGGATGCCTGGGAAAAAGCTGGAGCTGCAGCCAGCATTCACCCTCTGCCACTCCTCCACCTCCTGGGCTGGATCCTCCAGGCTGGCAGTGGGGGTGGGATGCCTGGTACCTACTGCTCACTGCTTTTTATTGAGGTTTTAGGTGTTGTCCTCCCTCCCCTGGCGTTGTGACACAGATTTGGGATCCAAACCCAACCTTCTGCAGGTCTCCAAAACCAACAACTCATTTCCACAGCGAGGGTGAGCTGGGGGAGGAGGAAGAGGGATTTGATAAGAGGAGGGTGGGTGGCTAAACCAGCAGCAGATTTGCTCTTATTAATTAAAAATAACCCTCTGGGCTAAATTGCAGAAGGGAGGGCAGGAACACAGGAACATGGAACAGCAATCCAGCCCTCCCTGGGTTTGCTATCCAAAAATATTCCTGACATTTCCAATTAACAGCCTGGCTAATGAAGAGCAAGCAGCTCCTGACTGCCACCAGCACCAGCAGAGCCATCAACTGAGGATGCTCCTTGTGGGGACAGAGGAAGAGTGTGGCCAAAATCCTTCCTGTCCCTGGCCACTGAGACACCCTGGATACTCCTGGGCCAGCAATTCCAGCTGTGCTGGGAATGAAGGGCAGTGCCAGACCTGCAGCTGGTGGCTTTTCCCCCTGGCAGCTGAAGGTCCAGCCCATGATCAGTGTCCCCCTGAGCCCCCTTGGGTCACAGCCCCCCTGCATCTTTGCCAGCTTCCCTGGGCTTCAGAATCCCAAATTCCTCATGGCTGCAGCAGCCCTTGGTAGGAAGGAGAAGGAGCACAGAGGGAATGGGGATCAGCGAGGAAATCAAAGCCAAAATGATGATTTAAACCAGCCCTGAGGTGAGGAGAGGGAGGGCAGAGCCAAGCTAAGTGACCTGGCTCTGCCTGGAGGGACATCTGGCCTGTGACAGATGCTGTCACCACTGAATGAGCACAGGGATGTGAGGAGAGGTTTGGGAAAAATCTTGTGCTGCTCTCAAAAGAGAGGTCCCGACCTGCAGAGCACTTTTCAGTGCACTAATAACTTTATCAAAGCATTTTTCAATGCACTAATAACTTTATCAGAGCACTTTTTAATGCACTAGTAACTTTATCAAAGCATTTTTCAATGCACTGATAACTTTATCAGAGTACTTTCTAATGCACTAATAACTTTTTAATGCAGTAGGAGTGCTTTTCCAGGCAAAGCCAAACTCCTGGCACCCTGCTCTGGCATCCAGTTACCCAGGGATCCAGGACAGGGAAGCACAGGGATGCACAACCCACACAGCTCTGGGTCTGGGGTGCCAAATCTTGCTGGGAGATGAGAAACTCTCCTTTTCTGATCTTTCCCTGGGATGAGCTGTGTGGAAACTTGTGGGACACATCTTGAGAAAGTAAGAAAATTACAGCCTGAAAAATATTCCAGGCTGGAGCTTCTCAGCTCTGTTCCCAGCCCATGGCTAGGGAGAATTTCTCCCAGGGTGATAATTTGGTCAAAATAAAAAGGAATTAATAACAAAGATAGAACACCTGTTGTGGTGTGTGACCAGGCCCTGGCAATGGGGTGTCTTCTCTCTGAACCAATCTCCTTTTCTCTACTCTTGGAATTAAAAGCCCTGCTATAAAACCAAGTGTGTTTCTGAATAAACTTGGCTCTTTCTTCCTGTCATAAAAAATGACCACGGAGATGTGCATCTTATTTCTGCTTCACTTAAAGGGTCAAAACCCCTTTCCAGGGCTACAGAAACTCGCAGCAGGAGTTTTGGGAAGGCACTGGAAAGATGCTTACCTTTCATCTGGACAAAGTCCAGCTGGTGGATGGACTGCAGCAGAGGGGCATTGTCCAGGTTCAGGTCGAAATCCGTGGTCATGCGAGGGGTGAGGGTCCCCTTCCCCCACTGATCCTCGGTCAGGTGCACCCTCCTGATGAGAGCATCCGAGATCTGCAGGGCAGGAGCAGCCCCAGCTGCCGTGGGATGTGTCCCAGGCCTTGTCCCCACCCTGCTGACCCCCCCCCTCCCCAAAGGCTGGGATGTCACAAAAGCCAAAAGAAAGGATGTGGGATTTCAGGTGGCTCTTTGAGATGCTGTTTGTTGTATCCAGAGGATACAGTAATTTATTTATTATCTAAAATGCTGTTTATTGTATCCAGAGGATTCAGCAATTCACGGGTCCTGGGTGACAGAGCCCAGCCCACACCTGTCACCTCAGCTGTGGGTTTGTCTGAAGCCACTCTAGTTCTGTTACAATGCATTCTATGCTTTTCTTTTAATAAATAACAACCAATCAATATCTTTACTATTACCTATAGCCTGTCATAACTACTAACATTTCCATATCCATGTTCCCATTTTCCAATCACAAAAAGTTAGTGTGTTACAGTTTAATCTAGAAGTCGTTTTTCAGTTTTCTTCCAGTGGAAAATTCTGAGATCTTTCTTACTACTTGCAACATTGGCTTTTTTATTTGCCTGTGAAAATCTTATTGCTTGGTAAAAATATTTTTTGTTTGAGGTGGATTTATCTTTTGCTCTGAGTTATAAAAGCCCCTTCCAACTCATTTTACCTTTTGGCTTCTTAGTTATCCAGTCAGACTGGCTCAGCAATTCTTTTCTTCTATATCAAAACTTGCTATTATTTTTATTCCTTTTTTTTTTCCAGATTTTACATTCAGAGATTTTTCTGTATATTTACATATTTGTGAGACTTTCCTGTCAAATCCTTATCTTTTCCAACGGGGTTTCCTGGAAGAGGGAACCCTGCAGTGCTGGGTGCTGTTTAATGGCAGGGTTTAGTGCCAAAGGGAGCCCAAAAATGCAGCTCCCAAGGGCTGCCTGTTGGTTTTTTTTTTGGTTTGATCCCCTGCTCCAGGGATGCACCATCCACTCCCTGCTGCAACCCTCTCCTCCAGAAACGTCCCTGCCCTGCTGTGAATGCAGGTGAGCAGGGGAGGCAGATCCTTGTTTTTTTTGGGGTCATCCTCCCCACCCCAGGCTCCACACTGACCTGCAGGAAGCCACTGGGGTCGTTCTCCTTGATGACCTCCAGGCAATATTCCATCAGCCCCGTGGTCTGGCGCAGCTTCACCGTGCAGTGTGAGATCTGGTCCCTCACCACCTGCAGGGGACAGGGACAGCAGGGTCACAGGGACTCCAGGGAACAGGCACTGTGGCCACAGGCCCAGAAAAACCTCTCCAGAATTTTTCCAGTCCAGCTTTTCAGGGTTTTTTTTCCCAAAGCTAGCTGCCTTCCTCTAATGAAAACATAAGAAAAGAATTAATTACAAAAATAAACATGAAAAAAAAGTGTCACTTTCTCTGAACCAAACAACTATATTCTGTCTTTAGAGTTACAAGAAACTCTGCTTAAACAATGTATTTTAAAATAAACTCCTCTTTTTCCTATCTTGAGAGAAACCATGGAGCTGTGTCTTATTTCCCCTGCATGCAAAGGGTTAAATCCTTAACCTGACAGCTACGAGGCACAACTGGCCAAGACTCAAAACCTGCTGAACAACAACACAGAATCCCAGAAAGTGTTTAAGGTCCCTTCCAACCCAAACGAATTTTTTTCCATTCTTATTCCACTCCTTCCACTCAGCTTGCTCCAATCCCCATCCAGCCTGGCCTTGGACACTTCCAGGGATGAGGAGTTCACAATCTCTCTGTTCTAACGAGCTTTGTTCAGCCCCAAAATCATTAGCACACGTAATTATTCAAAGCGAGAGGGCAGCTCAGTGCCCTGCCTTTAATTAGGCCAGCTCCCACATGGCAGCTTGTGAGCTCCAGATGCCAACTTGCCCAGCTCCAGAGCTGCCCTGCCCACCCCTGCAATGCAGCCAGGCTGTGGCACTGGCTCTGGGGCAGCCTGGGTGAGCAGTGACCCCGGCAGCTGCTCTTTCCAAGAGGAATGAACACATCCAGCCTCATCCCCCGGGATCTCTTTGAGATGCTCATCAGCTGAATGGACCACGCTGCAGAATTCCCTGCTTTTCTCCACTGCCTGGGGATGAGCTCTGAGGGAGGGGAAATCCAGGGAGAAGAGATAAAGGAATAAAATCCAAGCTCCACATCAAGGCACCTCCTGCACTCACAGCTCAGGTCCCCAAGGGATCACATCCCAGTATCCCAGCAGAGGAGCACAAGTGTGGAGTTTACTGAGGGCTCTGCTGACCTTCCCTGAAGCACAGCAAGGAGCAGAGGCTTCAGGCTGGATGCCACAAAGATTTATTTGAAAGCTGGCTGCTCCTTCACACTGAATCCTGCAGGTCCAGGATTTCTGCTGTGGGAAAGCAGAAATGGCAGAGCAGCTTGGGAAGAGAGATTTTATTCTTAGATGAATGTGCTCAAACACCCATGGAAAATTTTTTATTTTCTGCTCCTGGAAGAGCTTTAAAAAGCTGAGTAAAGTTCTCCACTAGCACAGAACAAAGCTTTGCAGCTCTGTGGAGTGTTACAGTGAGGATGAGCTGTGCAGCTGCAGAGAGATGGGAAAAGCTGCAATAAACACGGATGAACTGTAGGAGTCTTTGCTTTGGGACGGTCGGGACAAACTCAGGCGCTCCTTTTATTCTGGTTTTAAAGTTTTTGCAGTTTATTTCGTAGGGCGTGGGTTTATATAAGGCCCTGCTGGGAACTGCAGCCACAGCTCAGAGCAGGGTGGACAGAGAGTGAGAGTAAGAGAAAAGAACTTAAGAAAGTAAGAACGAAGAAAGTAAAAACATAAGAGAGCGATTTTCCCCTTTACAATACATTAAATCTTCTTCTATGTTGAATATTCTCATTTCCACTAACCAATCTAATACAAGATACAAATTCTCTAACATTTGCATGCCACCTATAGGAATCACTATATTGCCATGTTTTACTGCTTTTCTCATCTCTAAATTTTATCTGGGACCCTTCCTGCCATGCCTAGGGAGGATGTCTCTTTGATTTTTGGTGTTTGCAGCATCAAACATTATCTAAACCAAGGGGCCTTCAGGCATTCAGTTGCTTTCAGCCACACAGTCGAAAATTGCTCTCATTTCTATTTCGCTTCTATTTTCCATATTCTCAAAGTCTTTTGCTAAGCACTCGTATTTATAAGGTTTCCCTAATTCATCCTTCCCAACAATGAACGTTCCTGGGAGCTCAGCAGTGCTGGGATGCCTCCTCAGAGCTGGAGAGCATCTCCCCCTGCCAGCATCCCTGCAGCATTCCCGTCTAAGGGATGGCCAGGGAAAAGCAAGCACTCAGGCTGCCATGGTGAAGGAACCCGGGTTCTGAGGGGGGTGACTCCTGCAGGGCAATCAATGCCATCACGTGCTGGTTAATTAAAATTTAATCACCTCTGCTTAATCACCTAGCAGGAAGAAAAGAATTAGCAGCCTTGCAGTTTAGGAGCACGGATTGATTCAGGTTGGAAAAGCTCTCTGAGACCACCCAGGCCAAATGTTCCCCCAGCACTGCTAAAGCCACCCCTGCCCCATGTCCCCAGGTGCCACATCCACATGGATTTTAAATCCCTCCAGGCATGGAGACTCCTGAGCAGCCTGAGTGCCACGGCTGGACACTCTTTCCATGCAGAAATTTTCCCTGATATCCAATCTGAGCCTTCCCTGGTGTATCCTGAGGGTTTTTCCTTTCATCTCATCCCTTGTTCCCTGGGAGACTTGGGACAACATCACTGCTCGTGTGAAATGCCATTAAACATTCTTCAAAACAGCTCCAGATTTTTAGGGAGCAGCCATTCCCTGCTGCTTTTAGCAATCCCAGCCTGGTGTTTCCAGGCTGTGGCAGAGGGAGGCTGGAGCCAGGTCAGGAGCTGGGGAGGGGGTGCAGGGTGGACAAGGCAGCAGAGGGAGCTCCCATATTGCTCCTCTGGACCAGGACATTGTCCAGGGGCTTGGGGAGATGCTGGGTGGCTCTGAGATGGAGCTTTGGTGCAGCAGGACCTGCACATGGTGGCTCTGGCCTCCAACACTGTTGTTAGAGAGGAGAATTCATTGAATTCCACTTCCTAAAACTTGAGTGCACTGGAACAGCTCTGCTGGGGTCAATCACAGAATTCCAGGATGCTTTGGGTTGGAAGGAATCTTTAAAACCCATCCAGCCCCAGGACAGGGACACCTTCCACCATCCCAGGCTGCTCCAAGCCCTGTCCAACCTGGCCTTGGGCACTGCCAGGGATCCAGGGGCAGCCACAGCTTCTCTGGGAATTCCAGCCCAGCCAGGAATTCCCAATTCCCAACATCCCATCCATCCCTGCTCTCTGGCAGTGGGAACCATTCCCTGTGTCCTGTCCCTCCATCCCTTGTCCCCAGTCCCTCTCCAGCTCTCCTGGAGCCCCTTCAGGTCCTGGAAGGATAAAGCAGAGCCCAGAGCTGCTCCTGGAGATCCCACTCCTACTCTGACCTTCCTGAACGAGGGCAAGCCCTGGATTTCCCTTCTCAGCAGGGATGCTCAGTCCTTCAGGGCACGACCCAGCAGGGGCAGAGGGGGCTGCAAAGCATCCAGGGATTTTGCCTGTGTGGATGTTGGCTCTCCCAGCTGCAGACCACGAGATAAAACCGATCTGTGGGGCACAACCCTGCTGGCAGAGCACATCCAGAGGCAGGTTCTGCATTCCCTGCTTGCTGGGCTGCAGATTGGCAAGTGGGGAATCCCACCTGGAATGCTGGAAAAGCCACATCCCTTCACTGATGTGAGATCCCTCCGAGGGGAAATGCCACAGGAAGGCAGCAAGGATGGGATTGCTAAAACAAATCTTCTTATCTTCTTTGAAGCTTCAATCTCTGTCTGGTTTGCCCAGGATAATGAATTTGTGAAGCTCTCCCTGCTGGAGCTGATGCTTTCCAAGTATTTCCAGCAGAATTGCCATCTGCTCCCTCCAGCCAGGGAACAGCATTTGCTGGGTGAAGACATAATAAAAGCTTTTTTTTTTTTCTCTAAAGGTGGTCAAAGATCATAAAAAAGAGGCTGTGGAGTGTCCAGCATTAGAGAGACTCCAAACTCAGCCCAGGGCAGCCTGTTCCAGGTGAATCCAAAGCTGCAGCTCTGTCCCAGCCCTTCTCTAACCCTGCTTCCCCTCAGGGATCCAGCATCACCCATCTGGAGAACCAGGCCATAAAACTGCATTTTAATAACTTTTTAATTCCAGCATCTCTACAGCACAAAAGCCACCACCAGAAATCCACATTCACCAGCACCAAACTGCTTCTAAGGCAAAAAATGGGATTTTTGGGTGGGATCAAGTGGGGCTTTGTGGCTTTAAAGGAGAAATGGAGAACAGGACACAAATATTCCATCAACCACTTCGATTAGCAAAATTAAAGGCTTTAGAAATTAGACATAAACATCTCTCACAATTTGAAGGCCTGGTCTAAACCCAGTGGGGTCAGTAAAGCCAAAATATTTTCCGTGTGGCTTTAAGCCACTTGAATCCTGTGATTCTTAAGCCACAGAATCCTGGGATCCTCCTCAAGCACGAGGGATTTCTGCTCCCTGTCACCCCAGTAATTCAGAGTTTGTTGATGGGGAGAGCTGGGAGGGAAATTTGGGAGCTCCTCAAGCCTTGGACTGGTGCAGGAGCCTGTGCTGGGCTCAGGGAGGCCATGAAGGATTCCCAGGAAAACCTGGCACATCCACGTGGGTTTTTATCACATCCAGGGATGATGATCCCACTGCTGGCCTGGACAATCCTTTCCATGAAGAAATTTTCCTAAATATCCAATCTAAATCTCCCCTGAAGTAATTTGAGGCTGTTTCCCTTTTTCTGTCACCTCAGAGATGAGACAGAGCCCAGCCTGGCTCCTCCATGGCTCAGATTTTGAGGGGATTTGGGAAGCTCCACACATTTTATTTGTGATCATTTTTACCAAACATCATTTCCCCTCCCCTTTAAGTGCTAAATAAGGCAACAGCCAGCACCTGGCTGCTAATTCCAGCCTGTAAAAAGGGGTTTTTGTGCACTCACAGCAGTTCACCACGACCTTAAAATAGGACAGCTCTTTCAAGAGCTTTTCTTCCCTGAGATGACATTAACTATAATTTACATTTTAATTTTAAAACAGCTCCTAGAAAGCAATAACATCTCCACTCGGCTCCACTTAACTGCCTTCCTTCTTTTTTTAGTGCTTGGGTGGAGAACAGATCTCAAGGCACTCAACCTCCCCAGTGCCTGGGGTGAGTCCTGCTGGGAATGTCACATGGGGGACACGGATCCTCCTCACCCTGGGTGCCCTCTGCTTCCCCACGGAGCTGCACACCCAGCTGGAAAAATGGCCAGGACCGACCCTGGCAAGGTTTGAATGTGCTGGGTCCCACAACCAGAGCTTTTTTTTTTTTTTTTTTTTTGGGGAGAGGAGGCTCAGGCTGGAGGCAGGAAAAGCAGAGTTTTGTGTTAGCACCACCAGGAACCTGATCCAACAGGGAACACCGAGTTCCACTGGAAAATCCTGACTGCAACCTTGAAGAAGGAGCAGGATTTCACCTCTGGGGATGCAGTGCCCTGGATAGAAACCCTTGGTGGGTGTTTCCTGTGTGATCTCCTCTCCTGGGAAACGTGGCAAATGCTGCCTGAACAGCCTGGAGAAATCATGGAGCATCCCATGGCCTGAAGGCTGGAAAAAGACTGGAACGGTCCATAAAGCTGCTGAGAGCTCCAGGAGGTGCACCCAGAGCTCAGAATGTGTTTGTGGTGGGCTGAGGAGAGATTTCTTCCTGGGACAACACTCCAGGGAAGCCTCTGTGCCCCCTGCACAAACCTGGAGGACAGAATCCCTGGGGAAAGACCCCACTGCTCCTCTGAAAATCAATGAGGACACACAAGGAGCTCTGTCCTGCAGGTGACCTGGCCCCAGTGCTCCTCCAGGTGTTGCTTTTTTAAAGGCCAGGTTCTCAGTTTTGAATCTGGCTGCAGTGGGAGGCTGGAGCAAGGCAGGGATGTCCCTTGGTGTCCTCACAAGCTCTGCAGTAATTAGTGCTGGCCCAGAGTCAGGCCTGGATTTGTGCCTGCCCCCATGGGATGTGTGTCAGGACAAAGCAGGGCAGCCCCAAAGCCAAGCTGACCCCAAATCCAGGCCAGAGATGGAAACTTGGGCTGGGAACTTGGGCTGTGTCCTGAGGGTGCCTGTGCCCCTGTGCCAGGGCTTGGGTCTGTCCCCTGAGCCTCTCCTCCCTGCCACGGTGCCAGGGTGGCCAGCATCCCACTGGGCAGGAGCAGAGCCCATGGGCTCCAGGACAGGAGCCAGGACACTGCAGCTGCTGGAGGCACCAGCTTGGATCTCAAAGGGCTCCCTGGCACTGGGAGCACTCCTCTCCGGGGCTGAGATGCTCTCCAGGACACGGCAGTGACAAAGTGGCCACACACAGGACAGGCTGCTGTGGGCAAGGGCGAAGTTCCCAGCACAAGTGGCAAAGCCAAACGTGTCCTGTGCTGGTGGGGACATCACCCAGGACAAAGCCCAGAGCCCTGCAGGATTCACCCTGGCCACATTTCCACAAAAAGCACAAAAGGCCAGGAGGTGACCTCAGCTCATCTGCAGATGGAAATGGGCCCAGGGACGTCTCAGGGTGGGTGTAAATCACTGCAGCTTCACCCACTCCAGGGGGAAGTTTAGGTGAGCTACAGGGAAGGAATTCCTGGCTGTGAGGATGGGGAGGCCCTGGAATAGAATTCCCAGAGGAGCTGTGGCTGCCCCTGGATCCCTGGAATTGTCCCAGGCCAGGCTGGACAGGGCTTGGAGCAGCCTGGGACAGTGGGAGGTGTCCCTGCCATGGCAGGGGTGGCACTGGCTGGGATTTAATGTCCTTCCCAAGCCAAACCATTCCATGATTCCATGATTCTCACTGGAGGAGGCTCAGGTGCCACCTCTGCCAGGGCACCACAGAGCCCTTCCTGCCCTTCCCTGGGCACCTGGAGCTGCAGGAGCTTCAGGGAGGGAGGATCCAGAGTCCAGGCACAAACCCAGGGGCTCTTTGGGGTTTTTAAGGACAAAGCCCAGCTGATAACGAGGGTGGATGGGGGTGGGATGGAGACCACAGGACAGGAAGAAGCAGAGGGATCCAGATCCATGGATTCCATGGATAGGATGGGAACAAGGAGAGGAATGTGGATCCATGGACAGGACAGGAACAAGCAGTGGGATGTGGATCCATAGATTCCATGGACAGGACAGGAGGAAGCAGAGAGATGCAGATCCATGGATGGGACAGGAGGAAGCAGAAGGATGGAGATCCATGGACAGGACAGGAACAAGAAGTGGGATGTGGATCCATGGACAGGACAGGAGGAAGCAGAGGGATGTGGATCCATGGATTCCATGGACAGGAACAGAGGGATGCAGATCCATGGATTCCATGGACAGGACAGGAATAAGCAGAGGGATGTGGATCCATGGACAGGACAGGAGGAAGCAGAGGGATGTGGATCCATGGATTCCATGGACAGGACAGGAATAAGCAGTGGGATGTGGATCCATGGACAGGACAGGAACAAGCAGTGGGATGTGGATCCATGGACAGGACAGGAACAAGCAGTGGGATGTGGATCCACTCCTCCAGCCAAAGGCCTCTGTGGGTTGTGCTGAGCAGGGAAATTGCTTTGCTTTGTGCTGCCTGGCTTTGTGAGAGTTTAATTAACCGTGCCCTGAAGGGGATGAGGGAGAGGGAGCCCACCAGGCACTGGGGGTCCCCTCTGTGCTGTGTTTGGGGCTGTGCTTTGCTGCTGGCAGTGAGCACTGAGGGTGGGCTCAGTCCCACAAAGCTCCATTGTCCCTCTCCCTGTGGAAATGTCCTGCCCATGGTCTGCATGCAGGGAGGACTGGTGGCCTTCCCCTTGTTTTAGGAATCCCTCTGGCAGCCTCCTGCGTGGCCCAAAGCAAGGCCAAGAGTGAAGTTTCCAGGCAGAACACTGCAATGACCTCGGGAGAGACACCCTGCAATCCTAAACGTGGGTGTGACAGCATCCCTCCATCACTGATGGCCCCTGCCCAACAATTCTGCTCCTGTTCCACTGCTCCCAGGTGAGATCTGGTCCTTGGCTTCCCTTCCCAGCCCCACATCAGCTGGAAAGACGTGCTGAGGTGACAGTGGGAATGACACAAACCCACAGCTCCCACGGAGCTGCACCTCTGCTCCCAACACCAAAAATCTCAGGGCCACCACCACCCTGAGGCCATGAAAGCAGAGTCAATCCTGCTCCTGGTGACAACTAATGACACCAAATGGCTCAGGAGTTCAGCAGAAGCACCCAGCACCCTGCAGGATCATTCCAGAAGCTTGGGAGCAACGTGAGACACGAACAAAGTCATTTTCCATGCTGTACAATATAGTTCTGCTGACCTAAAGACTAGAAATGAACCCAACAATTCCTTGGGAACCACCTGGAGGAAGCAGCACTTTGTCAGGGACATGCTGTGGGTGCAGCAAGATGGAATTCACGTGGAAAAGGAGTGGCCTCCCCCCCAAAAAACCAGCATCCCAGTCAGTGCCAACCCTGCAGGGAGCTCTGTGACCACCCAGGCTCACCTTCAGCTTGTGCTCATGCTCCTTGTTGACCCGGGACAGCAGCTGGGCTTTCCTTCTGTTGAGGGCATCGATGAGGGCATCACACTGAGCCACCAGGCAGGCTTCAAACTCCACACTGTTCTCCTGTGGGGCACAGAGGGAGTCACAGCCCAGGGAACAGCCCCAGTCCAGCTGGAAAACTGGATTTTCCTTTTTTAATGGATCATTTTTGCACGTGCAGCTGCACCACTGCCACCCACGAATCCACAGCATTGGGTGTGGGATCCTGAGGGCCTTGGATGGTGGAAAATGTGGTGGTGGCAGGTGAGGAACAGGTTTGGATCCACCCATGGCAGAGAAGGGAAGGGCTCAGGACTCTGCAGTTCCCTCCCTGATGCTGGGTACAGCAGTTCTGGGGAGGGTTCAGGGGGGTGACATGGAAATTGAGGTGGAAATTGAGGTGTGGGTTCCTTTGGGAGAGCCAAACCCACCCAACCAAGCTTGGGAAGAGGGACAGGGGATGGCCCATCCAGGTGGGGAGGGTTTCTCACTTTCTCAGTACCTGGATTTGCTGCACCATGTTACGGAGCTGGACCAGGAATTCCTTTGCCTCCTTGGCTCTGTCTGACAAACCATTCAGGGCCTGGGAAAGCTGGCTCTGCAGGGGAAGCAAAGAGAAAAAGGTCATTTCCATGCCCAGGAGTCAGGCATCCCCCTGGATTGTGGGGGATTTTGGGCTGGGGATGGGCTGCAGCTCCAGCATCCCACCAAGGTGTGCCTGAGTGCAAGGAGAGAAAAGCAGATTTAACCATCAGCTCGGGTATCCTGGCTTTGGGAGGCAGATTTTCAGTGTCCACCTCCTCCAGAGGCTTCCCTGGGTGATCAGGGACAAGCCACAATCCACCCTGGCTCTCACAGGGAGCCATTTGCTCCCTCTCCTGCATCTGTGCCCTCCAAAATCACCAAAATTTCTGTAGGATCTGACCCACGTGTGCTGGGAACACAGGTCAGGCTGAAAATTCACCCAAACCCTCTTGAAAGTGAAGGTTAAAGCAGGGACTTCCTGCAAAATCCTGACTGCTCCTTGTCCCTCTGGAGTGGGAACACTCCCACAGCCCTGGCCCTGCTGGGCTGAGCAGCAGAACAGAATAATAACAATCATTATGTTCATCAAAAGCTTTTTCATTTCCATGGCACTTGCACTCAGGGATCTTCCCAATCTCCCCCTTCTGCCCTGATTCCAGCAGCGTGTGGATTATCTCAAGAGCCAAATCACTCTCAGCAATTCCCCTCTGGGAGAGATTTTTGCCTCTTTTGTGGGCTGCAAATTGGCTGCAAACACCCCCGTGGGTTTTGAGGGTTTTTAGGGGGTTCTTTCAGACACAGAAAGGAGATGGGAAAGTGGTTGATGGCCCCCAGATCTCCAAAAATCTCCTGTGTCCATCCTTCCAGGATGTGGGCACCGGGCTGGCTGCCCTTCCCAGGGGTGCTGCTGTGCCCCCCTGGATGCCAGGGAGGGGAGCAGGGCTCTGCTGGGCAGAAATCAGAGCAAAACCCAGCAGAGAGCTGTGGCAACCCTTTAATGGCCCAGAAAAATAATTGCCCAGAAAATGACCTCGCTGCTGCTTCCCAGAGAGACTTTAATTCACCCAAGTGCTTCCTGCATTTCCTTGGTAATTTATGGTGCCCCAGTCGTTGGGATGTGGAGCTAATCAGGGAATGCATCTCTAATAAAAATGGGATTGCTAAATCAGCTCAGCAGGTC